AAAGAGCTCAAACAGTCGTTACTTACAACAAATCATGTTGTATGTCCATGTCCGCATCTAGTCCTTGAGCGTTAAACTGGTCGAATAGTTTTCCAATAATGAGTGACAAATATTCCTTTAATAATAATTATGCTAAGCTCAAGAGCGTCTTCGTTTCCTTACTTGGTATTCTGACCAGAATTCAAGACCATACATTCTCGGGAGGAAATAGTCCATATAAGCACTGAACGTCTGTAGCGGGCGGTACTCGGTCTGAAAGGTCAATCCGTTAAGATATGATATCATCGATCACATCAATCAACTTTCTGATCTGCGCGTCTGTGCCTTGGTTCTGAAGAGATGATATAAGGGGCGCCTCTATCTCTTTCCAGGCAATGTTGACAACAAAGTTGTCAACTACAAAAATAGAGATCCAAACTTTTTGTATGTTTTCTGAAATTTCCAGACAAAATGAACAAATATAAAGTACTTTTGTAAGCGCTTAAAATTGACACCCCACTAAAAAAATTCAGCCTGGAATTTGGGCATTTTTCGTCTTCCGAATATGTCCTATATTTGGCCTTTGAATGACCTCTCAAATATAATTTTCTCTTCAATATAATGGTCGATTGAAAACCAAAGAATTGTAATATTTGTCAAATAAACCCTCTTTCTTTTTCCTCATCGGTTCCCTCCGCTAACCGGTTCTTTCCCACAGACGATTTCTCTATTTCTCTGCGTCTCACACTTCAATGCACTGTTTGTTCGGAAGCTTGATTTCTCTTCAAGTGACTCAGACTAATACGTAATAGTTCGCGAATTCTTTTCCGATTTGCCGTCCGTTTTCTACAAAAAGCATTTTAGATGTTTTGTTGAAACATGAGCAATTTTTCTAATTTATTATTTTTATTTATTTTTGGGTCTAGTATTTGTTTTCAATCTGTAATAGCCACTTCTGAACCTAATGAGTAAGCTTTGAGGCCTTTTTTTTTTCAAAAATTCGCAATAGAGCGCAAATGCGAAAAATTAAAAAAAATCTGAAATTCTGAAAAAATTCAAAAAATTCAAAAATTCAGAAATTCAGAAATTCAGAAATTCCGAAAATTCGGAATTCAAAAAAATTTCAGAAATTCAAAAAAATTTCAGAAATTCAAAAAAATTTCAGAAATTCAAAAAATTTCAAAAAATTCAAAAATTCAAAAAATTCAAAAATTCAGAAATTCAAAAATTCAGAAATTCAAAAATTCAGAAATTCAGAAATTCAGAAATTCAAAAGTTCAGAAATTCAGAAATTTCCAAAATTTAGATTTCTGAAGGTCTGAAATTCAAAAATCCCAATTTTCCAGACCTACCGTACCCGACTCTCTCAACAAGGCCAAATATTGCAAGAAGGAGAAAACTGATGGTGAGTCCCATGGCCTAACCTTCAGAATTCCTAGGCCATTACCCAAAATTTCTCTTCCAGGAATCACATACGACCAAACGCGGGCCTGTATGCAACACGAGCAACCGTGTCCAGATCCTCAGAACGTAGAGGGTACAGTAACCCGTTACTGTAACTGTCAAACTGCAAAATGGGAAGCACCGGATACAACGAACTGTACACATCGCTGGGTTGCCGAAATGCAGACGGCAATTCAGGATAATCAACCAGTCGAGGATATCAGTTCAACAGTTAATCGACAGTTGAAGTGAGTCTGTTTGTTTGTATATGTGTCCGGATATCCAGTTGCGAAATTTGGAACTTACTTAGTTAGGAATCTCACTGATTCTTAAGGATTTCAAAAAGTTTCGAATTTCCCACTTTTATCCTTTTTCTCCCTCCATACACCAGAGTTTGCTACTATGTAGCTTGTTTGGATGAATGTACAACTCCTCGAGGTGCTTTCTCTGACTTTAAAAATGCCAAAATTTCAAAAATTTCAAAAATTTGACTTTCCAATCTTCCCCAAATTTTCGATATCCTAAATTTCTTAACATTTTTCAGATCCACAATCCAACGAAAACTATTCGGAGGTGACATCACTGGAACCGTCCGTCTGAGCAATGACATGTTGAACCTGGCCAGAAACCAATTTGATATAATGAACGATCGGAACCTTCGAGAGAATAAGGCTAAAAATTTCACCGAGAATTTGGGAGGGTCCGGAGATCAATTGTTGTCTCCAGTGGCTGCTCAAGTTTGGGATCAATTATCGAGCTCGATTCGAATTCAACACGCTTCGAGATTGATGAGTGTTCTAGAACAATCTGTGCTGTTGTTAGGAGATTATATGACGAATCAAAAGTTGAATTTGGCATATGTTAATTGGGGTGAGTTGTTGTTTGTTTCGGTAGAGCGTATTTTATCCTTTACGATATTCTCAAATTCGAAATTGGGGATCCAAAATTCCAGGTTTGTAATTCAGATTATGGAATTCAGAGTTTGGAATCTGGAATCTGGAATCTGGAATCTGGAATCTGGAATCTGGAATCTGGAATCTGGAATCTGGAATCTGGAATCTGGAATCTGGAATCTGGAATCTGGAATCTGGAATCTGGAATCTGGAATCTGGAATCTGGAATCTGGAATCTGGAATCTGGAATCTGGAATCTGGAATCTGGAATCTGGAATCTGGAATCTGGAATCTGGAATCTGGAATCTGGAATCTGGAATCTGGAATCTGGAATCTGGAATCTGGAATCTGGAATCTGGAATCTGGAATCTGGAATCTGGAATCTGGAATCTGGTTCAGAACTCAGAATTCAGAAAATTCAGAATCGGGAATCCGAAACTTAGAGTTTGAATCCCAGAAATTTGAAATCCTGAGTTTGAAAGTGCGCTCTATTGGACTTTTTCAAAATCCTAACCTTTGAAAATTTCAGCGATGGAAGTGGAACGCTCCGAACCAGAATCTCAGGCATTCGGAGCTGCTGCCGCTCCTCCAAACGTTCAGGATGATATGGGAATGATGAGGTGATCTTTTTTTTTTTGAAAATTCCAGCCTGAAATTTGTATTTCAGATGGATTTACTGAAAACATGCAAAAAATATTTCTTTTTCGAAATTTTTGATCTTCAAAAAGCTCAAAGAGAAACCAAACCATTTTTGTTTGTTCAGGGAATTATTGGGAGATCAAAAAAGAATTCAATTTTCAAAAAATTGAAATTTCGAAAATTGAAAATCAGAAATTAAAGCATCCTTCTGAAATCCCTTTTTCCAGAGTTATGGGTGCTGCACCCCCTCTTCAACCAGCCGAAACCAACACCACCATCGTCTTCCCATCCTTAAAACTGTCTCCATCAATCACTCTTCCGTCTGCGTCTCTTCTGAGCTCTGCTGTCTCTTCTTCCCAACCTACAGTATTCGGAGGTGGTCCCAGTATCCTTTCATCGTTCCAAGACGATACTCCAGTGGCTCAAGGAGCCGTTCCAAATTTAAACAGAAATCCTATAAAACTTGGAACATATGCGTTTGCTGGATTTGGAGCTTTGTTGAATAACGGAGAGCATACTGTAATCAACAGTCAAGTGATTGGAGCATCGATTGAGAATGCTACTAGAAGTGTGACACTTCCCAATGATCATCCAGTCACTTTTACCTTTCAACATTTGACAACGAAAGGGGTTTCAAACCCTAGATGTGTCTATTGGGATCTTCAGGAGAGGTGAGAAGCGTCTAGAAGTTTCAGGAAATTCAGAAATTCTGAATTCTTCATTGAAATTCTAAAATTGAGAAATTCCAAAAACCTAAAAAAATCAAAATTTTGAACTTCTGAAATTTAGAAAACCGAAAATTCTAATATTTGGAACTACAATTTTTTAGAATTTTCTCAAAAATTGATTATACCTAACTACCCCTAAACTAACTCAATTTTCAGCAAATGGTCCACCACCGGATGTACTCTAATTTCGACATCTTTCAACTCATCACAATGTTCATGTACTCATTTAACGAGGTAAAAACCAGTGAGGGAATTCGGCGAATACCCGATTTTTATCTTTTTTTGTCTATCAAGATTACTCATTCGATTACTAATTGGAAATAGGGCAAAAGATGAGAGAAAAACAGGGAATTCGGAATTTCTAGAAAATTTTCTTCAAGAAAAATTAATACATCTTCCGTAAAACCTGTAATAAAAAGATACTGTCAAGTTTGAGCTAATTTATCTCAGTTCCTGTGCAAAGTAGCATAACGTTGTCAACTGACAAAATTTTTGTAAATAATATGATGAACATTTTATCAGTTGACCACTTTTCTATATTTTTTACAGTAACCGAGAAAAATCGGCTCAAAGTTAAAAGCTAGGTGTCTGCAAAAAACGGCGCTCCATCGAACAATAAAGCCCAAAAATCTCAATAGAGCAAATTTGCAGTTTCGCGATTCTGATGGACGTTTCCGGTCAAGTGGGTCAGTTTTCGGGTGGTTTGGCGTCGGCATTGGATGTGATTTCAACGATTGGTTGTGCAATTTCCATTGTCTGCTTGGCTCTTTCCGTTTGTGTTTTCACATTTTTCCGGAACCTTCAAAATGTCAGAAATTCAATTCATCGGAATCTCTGTCTTTGTTTGTTGATAGCAGAGTTGGTTTTTGTGATAGGTAAGGCTGCAAGCTACAGTACCCAAAATAGTCATATTTTGACATTTTTCAATGAAATTCTTAAATTTGGAGTCCTACGAAAGTAGCCCAGGGTTTTTCGATTTGTCTGAAAATTTCAGAATGTATTAATTAAAAATAGAGCTTCAATTTTGTAGTTGACAACTTTTTTGTAGCTCTCTTGGTTTTCAAGATATGTGCTTTTGAAAAATACCACCTCCCTCTCCCTCTATCTTGATGATAAATATGAGGAAGGGATGGTATTTTAAAGGCGCTTATCTCAAATATTTTTGTAGCTAGAAAAAAGTTGTCAACTACAAAATTGAAGCTCTAATTTTCTTTAATGTACGCTGAAATTTTCAGACAAATCGTGAAATGCTGTACCACTTTTGTAGCTCTAAAGTTAACTATGTTCCACTGAAAAAAATGTAACGAATATTTTTTGTCCGGGTTTCTCTTTATGAACTACAAACTACAAAGTACATACACAAACTAAAAATTTTAAACTACAAACTACAAACCACAAACTACAAACTACAAACTTTTCCAGGAATGGACCGGACCGGAAATCGAACTGGATGTGGAGTGGTGGCAATTCTGATTCACTACTTTTTCTTGGCATCTTTCTGTTGGATGCTTCTGGAAGGATACCAGTTGTACATGATGCTCATCCAGGTTTTCGAACCGAACAGAACCAGAATATTCCTGTATTATTTGTTCTGTTATGGATGTCCCGCGATTATTGTGGCAGTGTCAGCTGGTGTCAAATGGGAGGACTATGGAACGGATACATAGTGAGTGGGCGGAGCTTGGGAAAAAATTCTGGAAATTTGATAAGAATGACAAATTTTGATATTTGAGAATCTGGAAGTTAAAAAAAAACTAATTGTAAGAATGTCGCAGAATTACGATTCTTCGATTTTCAGATTCTGAAATTCTGCGGTTCTGAAATTCTGCGATTCTTAAATTCTGAAATTCTGCGATTCTGAATTTCTGCGATTCTGAAATTCTGCGATTCTGCGATTCTGAAATTCTGCGATTCTTAAATTCTGAATTTCTGCGATTCTGAATTTCTGCGATTCTGAAATTCTGCGATTCTGTGATTCTGACATTCTGAAATTCTAAGATTCTGAAATTCTGCGATTTTGAAATTCTGAGATTCTGATATTCTGAAATTCTGCGATTCTGCGATTCTGAAATTCTAAGATTCTGAAATTCTGCGATTTTGAAATTCTGAGATTCTGAGATTCTGAAATTCTGCGGTTTTGAGATTCTGAAATTCTGAAATCCTAAATTATACAATTCCGATATTTTGGTATTCTTATAATTTGAGAATTTAAAATTCTCTGATTCTCATATACCGATTTGAAATTTTTTCCGAAATTTCAAAAATCAGAATTTTACAAAACTGCTAGAACTTTCAGATTCTCAAGTTTCCAAGTTTTGAAAAATCTTGAGATTCCTAGATTCTTATTCTATCAAACTCCATTTTGCAGTTGTTGGATCGACACCTCCACCCCAACAATCTGGGCATTCGTCGCACCAATCATCGTTATCATCTCCGCCAATATCATTTTCCTCCTAATCGCTCTAAAAGTCGTTCTCTCCGTTCAATCCCGTGATCGTACAAAATGGGGAAGAATCATCGGATGGCTAAAAGGATCTGCGACCCTTCTTTGTCTCCTAGGAATCACATGGATTTTCGGATTCCTAACAGCAGTAAAGGGTGGAACAGGAACTGCGTTTGCCTGGATATTCACACTGCTCAATTGCACTCAAGGAATCTTTATTTTTGTACTACACGTTGTCCTTAACGAGAAGGTGCGTGCTTCAATCGTCCGTTGGCTGCGAACTGGCATCTGTTGTCTACCAGAAACCAGCAGTGCCGCCTACAACAGCAGATCGTTCTTGAGTAGTCGTCAACGCATTCTGAATATGATCAAAGTGAATGGCCACAGCTATCCAAGTACAGCGAGTACTGATGATAAGGAGAAGCAAATGACGCCGATCACAAAGACCAGTGATTGGCTGAGCAGGCTGCCCAATCAGGACTCCATGTCGGTGCCAGAATCAAATTTGAATTCGGCGGATTTGCCCGAGCAGGAAATTCACGAGATCCGAGAAGAACCTTCGGAGCTCCGCCGCCGCATCACCGTCGACTTGAATCCCACCATCCATAACAACAATTCAAATGTCGAAATCGAAAGTCACGCCTCCTCATCAGATCCACGTGGCAGTCAGATCATTGAGATTACACAGGTGGAGAAGAAAGCGCCGGTGAAGAGAATCAAGTTCCCATTGGGAGCAAAGCAAAGTGAACGAGGATCTCAGCATCGGACGAAAGTGATACCACCGGAATCGCCGGATTCTGGAACTAAGGATTATCGATTTTAAGATACTAATTATAGCTTGTATTTCCTGTAATTTGGCCGAAAGTACTTTAATAGTTTTACCTCAATCATCTCGTTTTCGGTGAGAGATATCAAAAATTTGAGTTCCTCAGCTTTGAAGGTGAGGAGAGACGCAGCCAACGAGACATCCTAACTGTCTGCGTCTCTCCGCAGCTTCCAATCACTGTATCTCGAGTTCTAGAGCACATAGAGAATTGTTTATTAATCTGAAATATTTCATTTTTGATCGCAGACAGTTAGATTGTCTCGTTGTCTGCCCTAATCTTTAACCTTCGTGCCCTTTGAGCTCGATTATCCCAGCTCCTATAAGAGATACTCAAAATCTGTCAACTGATAAAATGTCGCTGATATTTTGACAAACTTTTTATAAGTTGACAACAATTTGATATCTATCACGGGAACCGAAATAATTGAGCTTTAAGTTTAGGAGAGACGCAGGCACCGAGACACTCTAACTGTTTGCGTCTCTTCAAAACTTCAAACGACTGTATCTCGGGGTTCAGATAAGCTAGAGGATTGAAAATTAAATAAAATGTAGAAAATCAAAAATTCAATATTTCCAAACAAAAAACAATTTTCTAGGTGTTCTAGAACCCGAGATATAATGGATTGAAGCTGTAACCGCGACGCAACCGCAACGCGTACGTCAAAAAATAAGCTACTGTATTTCATAACTTCCCCCCTTTGTTTCCTAGATCCCTTCCTTCACATTTTTATTGACTCCTACTGTACCAAATGATCTATAAAACCCATAAAACACCCCCGAATGGTGCTCCCCCTCTCTTCCCAGCAAATGACATATACCGGTGACATTTTATAACTTCTTACCTTCCATTTTCTTCTTCTCCTTTTCCCCTTTTCTACAGAATATTACTGTAGATGACAAAAATGAAGATTCTTATTCTATTCCTATGTCTTCTTTCTGCTCTTCCAACGAATTCTAAAAGATTGACGCCGAGGGAGAACAAAATTCTAAAAGCGAATTGTGGAAGATATGTGGAAGGGTTCACTTCACTGTCTGGAAAACGAAAAGAGACTTCTGAGGAATGGAAAGCGCTTTATGGGAAGGAAGTGAGCATTGGAGAGGCTCCATGGGCGGTTTCGTTGACGATGAAGAAGCGGACAGTGTCCGGGAAACGAGTCGAGGATCAGTTTGTGCAGGTGGGCGAAGTTTCTGGATATTTAGGAAATGAAAACAGTCTTCGAGGAGTTGTACTTGCTAGCCATATATTGAAGAGTGCTGCCGGTTAAGCTACGCGGTCGAAAACTCTGGTTTTCGGAGGAGAGATAGAGTCAAAGTTAGTAATTCTTAAGAATTATTGTTCCTAGCCCTCTAAATTTTCAAATTCTATGTTTGGACATCCGGAAACATAGACAAACTGGCTGATTTCAATTGTCGATTGACTGATCAGCTAATATCAGCAACTGGTTGATTATGTTCACAGAAGTGCGGTGCGATTTTTAGCATCAAACAATCTGAAACTTGATTTATCGAAAATCTAAAAACTGCTAAATGCCAGATGAAGAGACGCAAACTGGCGAATGACTGCTAGCTGGCGGCCGAAGGAGAGCCGACGGGGCCGTTGACGGACTGTTCGCGGACCACATCTCAGAATTTCTAGCAAATTAGAATTTTATGCATTTTTGAAAATAAAACCGGAGTTTTTTTTGAGAATTTCAAAGTTGACAAAATTTATAATTTAGTTTTTTTTAGGATTCTCAGATTCTCAGATTCTCAGATTTTGAAACTTCACGATTCAGGAATTTTTGGATTCTCAGACTCTTACGTCCTTAGAATTCTAAGAATATCTGAACACTTGTGCTTTTCACGATTTTATTTTCCAGCACGGAACCGGCACACTAATCTCTCCTTGGCACATTGTCACCGCTGCTCATCTCGTCGGAATCACTGAGGATCCACTTCCAAACTGTGAAACCGGCGAACTGAACGACGCGAAATTCTTGAGAGATTTCAAAGATTTCGTTGCTTTTGTCAATGTGACATGCGCGGTTCCAGAGATGTGCAAGGATCTGAGACGAGGGGATCAGTTCAAGGCGTTTGCGGTTGAATCGGTAAGGACATCGGGCCACACAGACACACTTTACTTGATTTTCAGCTCTACATCCGTAAAGGATACGTTGGAGATGGATGTGAGGATCGAGAGTCGTTCAACGATATTGCAGTTTTTGAGCTCAAAGAGCCCATCGAATTTTCCAGGAACATCTTCCCGGTTTGTATTCCACAAAAAGCAAAGATTCCAGTTATGGGAGCAAAGGGATACAAGTTATATGGCTATGGAAGAGATCGTGAGTTCTTTCATAACACTTTTGAAAAGTTGAAAAATAATTTTTCAGCATCCGACAAAATTCTAGAATCTGGAAAGCTGAAAACGTTGGTGAGCACCGTTACCGAGTGCTCTGACGAGTTTCCATATGAAGGAGTTTTCTGTACAGCTGCTGAGAATCGCGGATTGTCTTGTGATGTGAGTTGACAGCGGTCAACCGCGACGCAACCGCAACGCATATATCAAAACTTTAAAGGCGCGTATCTCAGGTCCCAGATAAGCTAGGAAGCTCAAACTTTAACGAAAATAACGAGAAGACAACGCTCAATTAACCAAAATTAAATTTTGGAGTTTACAAATTTTGAAAACCAGAGAACCGCGACGCAAACGCGACGAGTAGGCCAAAAACTTTGAGACGTCCTATCTCAGGTCCCAGATAAGCTAGGAAGCTCAAACTTAGATCAATAGCTGCGGCGAACCTTGATTAGAATTTTTCACAGATAACAGTTTTGAAGGTATGAGAACCGCGACGCAACCGCAACGCGTATATCAAAACTTCAAAAGCGCGTATCTCAGGTTACAGACATGGTAGAAGGTTCAAATTTAGAAGAAAATAACAAGAAGGCAACGCTCAATTAATCAAAGTTGAGTTTGGAGTCTACAAATTTTGAAAACCAGAGAACCGCGACGCAACCGCGACGAGTAGGCCAAAACCTTAAAGGCGCGTATCTCCCGTTACAGACAAGCTAGTGCGCTTAAATTTCTAGAAAAATGCCAAAAACACATTTTGATACTCTATGAATTAGTTCCAGCAGACCGAACAACTTTGAATTATTTGAGCCGCGACGCACCCCCACCGCGTAGGTCAAAACTTTAGAGACTCGTATCGCAGGTCCTAGATAAGCTAGGAAGCTCAAACTTAGACCAAAAGCTGAGGCGAATCTTGATCATAATTTTTCACAAATAACAATTTTGAAGGTATGAGAGCCGCGACGCGACCGCAACGCGTAGGTCAAAACTTTAAAGACGCGTATCTCAGGTCTCAGATAAGCTAGAAAGCTCAAACTTTTACAGAAATATAACGTTTTTCCAGGGCGACAGTGGGTCCGGTGTGGTCCGCACTTCTGAAACACGAAACGTCGAAGAGCTCGTCGGTGTGCTCTCAGCTGGAATGCCTTGTCCAGAACTCTACGATGCACATCTCCTTCAACGAAAATATCGAAGAACGTTGACTCAAGAAACCGATCTTCTGATTGATGTCTCATCGCATTTGGAATTCTTTTGCAAGTGCTGTGGAATTTGCACCAAGTGATATAACTGATTTATTGATAACTGATTAATAAAATGAGCATTGATTTTCAAAAAAAAATTGAAAAAGTACACAAAAAGGGGATTTTTGAAGGGGTGCGCATCTAATCGAGGCCATCTATTCCAACTTGCGATTGGCGTTCTGAAAAAAATGATATTCGAAAAATTCAAATTCGCTCCCGAACTCTTACATAAATATTGATTTGGTTCTTGAGTTGAGCTGTGAGCACTTTTCCAAACACGATATGATTGTGGGTGGCCAGAATTTTGGCAGCAGCCAATGCAGCCTCGGATGGGTCGAGCACTGTGGTGCATCCGATTCCATTTGGTATACGGAGAGAGCTCCAGATGTCTAGACTCATCGATTCACTGGGTGGTGGGCAGTTGATGACCTGGAAGATTATTTAATGGCTTACTATTAGGAATTTCCTGGTGCGAGTTCTGGGTCATTTTGATATGATGGCCTAACTTTTGTAATTTGAGTTTTCTAGGTCACCATGTTTAAATGGCTTTAAACGACCCTGATGTGTTTTAGGTGATTTTAACATATTGGCCTAACTTTAGCAAGTTGAATTTTCTAGGCCTTCAAGTTGAAATGATCTAGAAAAGGCTTCATACGGCCCAGATGTATTATCTAGGTCATTTAGACGTGATGGTCTAACTTTTGCAAGTTGCGTTTTCTAGGCCACCACGTTAATTTGACCTAGAATCGATTTGATATTTTCCTGGTGCGTTTTCTAGGTCATTTTGAAGTGGTAGCCTAACTTTTGCAAGTTGGGTTTTTAGGTCATGACCTTAAATTGACCTAGAAATGGTTAATATATGGTTAATACATTATAATGACCCTGGTGAGATTTCTGGGTCTTTTTAACGGAGTGGCCTAACTTTTTCAAGATAAATTTTCTAGGCCACCACGTTGAAATGACCTAGAAAACAAACGAGGGTCACGTTAGGTCATTTTTAGGGCAAAAAAAGGTGGTAGCCTAGAAAACCCAACTTGCAAAAGTTAGGCCAACCCTTCAAAATGACCTAGAAATGGCTTGAATCAAACCTGATGTGTTTCTTAGGCCGTTTTCACGTGGTAGCCTAACTTTTGCAAGTTAAGTTTTCTACCGTAACCCTGTTATCTAGCTGTCACTCACCGGTAAAGACGAGTTTCCAGCAATGACTGGTCCCAAACCATTGGATCTTCCAGCCACGGCGATCACCACTGTAGGCACTCCACTCTCCTCAAACTCCGCCAACACTTCCAAAGTGTCCGAAGTGGTCTTGTGGGCGGAGCTTACTTTCAAAGTGGTCTCCAATCCAAAACCCTTGGCGGCATCCGAGATTTTTCTTGCGAACACTCCATCGGATCCAGATCCCATGATTACGAGGACATGGCAATTTTGACGGGGTTTTGAGAAGCTTGAGGTGATGTCCATTACCTGTAGGATTTAGTTTTGTTTCTGTACTTTTGGCAGGAGATTAATGATGTTGGGAGAGTAACCTAAACGCTCTAATGTCATCTGTGAGCTTAATTATCTCGGTCCCTTTAAGAGATATCAAATAGTAACGAACTGATAAAATGTTCATCATAATATCAGCAATATTTCATTAGTTAACAGTTTTTTGATATCTTTTATAGGAACCAAGAAAATTGAGCACGAAGATCTATGGCTCTTGAGGGCTTCTATTAGAGCGTATCTCTCCCTATTCACCTTTGTATAATTTTTGAAAACCAACTGTAGTCCCTCGGCAGTCACTTCCTTCATATCACGATACACCTGTTTATCCAACTGAAGACGTCTGTCATTCTCCGGCCAAACTCTCCATGAATCATTGTCGATGACGTCAGCCAACAGAATCTCTCCCTCAACTGTCACACCGAATTCAATCTGAAAACAAATTTTGTGTGATGTTTGAGTTGGAGAATTCAAAGTTCAATGTTTTCAGTCTGGAAGTTTGAAGAGTCGCAAAATATGACATTTTTGTGTGTATGCAAACAAACGATAAAGTTGAAATCGCAACATTTGAAATTCGAAATAAAAAACACTAAATATTTGAGCTCAATTACCTCGGTTCCTATAAGAGATGTCATAATTTTGTCAACTGATAAAATGTTGCTGATATTATGACAAAAATTTTATCAGTTGACAAATTATAGATATCTTTTATAGGAGCTGAGATAATTGAGCTCAAAATGCTCGTAAGTTGAAGTTTAGGAGAGGCGCAAGCAACGAGACTTCAAACGACTGTATCTCGAGTTCTAAATAAGCTACAAGATTGAAAATAGTATGAACGTGTAGAAAATCAAAAATTCAATACTTCTAAACAGAGATATAGTGGTTCGAAGCTGAAAGTGAGAAGAGACGCAGGCAACGAGACACCCTAACTATCTGTGTCTCTTCTGAACTTCAAAAGAATGTATCTCGGGTTCTAGATAAGCTTGAAGATTGAAAATAGAATGAAAATGTAGAGAATCAAAAATGCAATTTTTTAAAACAAAAACCAATTTTTCAGCATTTCTCGAATCCGAGATACAGTACCTTTAAGCGCAAGAAAGACGCAGAAAGTAAGAGTGTCTTGTTGTCGGCGTCTCTCCTTAGCTTCAAATCAATTCTATATTTTCTAGCTCGTCTAGAAGCCTAGATACAATCATTTAAAGTTAAGGAGAGACGCAGACAGTTAGAGTGTCTCGTTGTCTGCGACTCTCCCAAATTTGAAGCTCTCTATCTCAGCTCCAGGATGAGCTAGCTAATCCCAATAAAGCACACTTACCTTCATATCAATCAATGCACTATTCTCCAGTGCCCACGCCTTCTCCAGTACTCTAAACACCAATTTCGTCATCTTCTTCATCAACGAAATCTCCTCTCTTCCGATTCTCAAATGATCAATCATCAATCCATTCGACACGATTTGCTCATCACTCCATTGTGGATCGTCATTAGCGTCGTCCTTGAAAAACGTCTCCAATTTCAAATCGGCGAATCTGAATCCTTCCTTAACACCTGGATTTCTTTTTAAGAATGATCCAGTGGCCACACGTCTGGCCACCCATTCAATCGGGATCATTGTGCATTTACGGGCAATGAATTCGGTGTCTGAGACGGCTTGTTCAAAATGTGTGGGGAGTCCCAGGAGTTGAAGATATTCAAAAACGTTTGTAGTCGTTTTGCTAGCGATTTTTGATTTTCCCTCCAGCTCGTTTTTGCGCTCAGCGTTGAATGCCGTAAGACTGTCTTTGGAACGAATTAAGACATAGTCCTGGAAAATTCGGACATCTGGACAAACAGAAAACCATTTTTGATTGCCGTTTTTTCTCCAACTTTGAGCTCAAAAAACTCGATTCCTGTGAAAGATATCAAAAAATTGTCAACTGATAAATTGTAGGTGATATTATGATAAATCTGTATAGGCTGGCTAATCAGTACACTTTGTTTTTTTCTGATATAAAACTTTAATTTTCATCTAAAAAAGTGTTTTTTTTTACCATTTTCAGGAGTGTTGGCGAAATTCCGAACATTTTGAAAATTTTGGAGGGTGTTAAATAGACCTAGATTTTCAAAAAATTCTGTGAATGCAAAGTTTTCAATCTAGCTCTCTTTTAGACCCTCCAAAATTTTCAGAGTGAAAAATCTCCTGAAAATGCACAGCCTGCCGAAACGCGATCGCGCCAAAAAGCCGCCTTCAAATGGTGCGGCGGAGCGCGCCTGTATTTTCAGTGTTAAGTTTCAGAGATTGTTTTCAGATGACGATATCTCATCTCAAACTGAATAAAAAACGATGGGACAACCTACGAATTGTAGAGAAAAAGTTTCTCCATCAGATTTTAATAGTTTTCGTTGTTAAAAGTTTTCCGGCTTTGCGGTATTGTGCCTTTTCTGAAAAAAGTCCAGTTTTTCATACTTACTTTTTTTTCGGATTTCTTTCGTTTTTCAGTGTGATAAAACAACAAAATAGAGAAACATACATTCTGAAAATAGAATCTTAAAATTCAGATGAATATTTCAAGTTTTTATGCCATATTTAGCGAGTGGAACGTCTGAAGGTGTTGTTGAAGAACCGAATCAGTTTTCGTCGATTTCCCGGAATTTCAGGCAGTTTTACTGTCTCACAAGTGTAATTTTCGATCACTAATTACTATTTTTGAATAGATTTGGCGTAGTAGATAAAGTTTAGCTGAAATTTGAAATGTTCCATTTTCCCCCTAGAACTCGGATTGGCAAATTGTTCTCAGAAGTCCGTCAAATTCGATTCAAAATGACATGAAAATGACGCTGTGATAAGTCAGATAAGTTTTGAGCATGTTTCTTATCGTTTCAATTCGATTTAGTCCCGGGAGAAGTCAGGTGTCACACAATATCTCTAAACCAACAGAATCAGGCTATGCACAACTTGTATTTGTGAAAATCTTCCTCGAAAGCCTATTTTCAGTTCAGAAATATACGCATAATGTCAATCATACAAAACAAACTAGGAATCTATGAAATTTTAGCTGAAGAAGTACGAAAAACTGGACTTTTTTCAGAAAAGGCACAATACCGCAAATCCGGAAAATTTTTAACATTGAAAAATATTAAAATCTGATGAAGAAACTTTTTCTCTACAATTCGTAGGTTGTCCCATCGTTTTTTATTCAGTTTGAGCTGAGATATCGTCATCTGAAAACAATCTCTGAAACTTAACACTGAAAATACAGGCGCGCTCCGCCGCACCATTTGAAGGCGGCTTTTTGGCGCGATCGCGTTTCGGCAGGCTGTGAAATAGTCAAAATGGCCGAAAATACATTATGCTTGTCTGAGAAAAAAAAAGGTTGAGACGCAGAGAAAAAGTGTCTGTGTCTCCACCTTATGTGTGCTATTTAGGCTCTCCGCTTCGATATCGCTACCGTATTCAGACTGCGAGAAATACTCTCTAACCTTTTTTTCTCAGACAAGCATAATACTGAAACACGTTTTTGTATATCTACTGTACTTCTTAAGTTGCAACAGTACTGCTAATCATCTTTATTGATTGTTCTCCTAATTTTCAACTGTATATCTTCCTTATCATTCTTACCACAAATAAATGAAGTTGCGTACTTTTTTCTATCTAGCAGCTATCTGTTTGCCGCGCCTCCTGCGCTTTTCGCTGTTTTTTTATCTTCTATTGCTGTCTGTAAAAAAGAAGAAAAAAAATAAGTACTTTTTGCATTCTGAATACAGTAGGAATATCGAAGCGGCGAGCCTAAATAGCACATATTAGGTGGAGACGCAGAAAATGTTTCTTTGCGCCTCAACCTTCATTTTTCAGACAGCGATAACATCCCTAATTTCTGCAATGAACTCGCATATTGTTTCTCAATTACTTTTGGTTACTGTACCTTACAGGCGCACGCTTGTTCGTCAAAAAGTTTCTGGCGAAAGGTGCATGCGCCTTTAAGCTACTGTAGTTTTTTGTTTTCGGCCGGAAAATGCAATTTTTACTCAAAATAAGCTACTTTTTGCTCAAATTTTGCATTTTTCCAACTCAAAAATTTAAATTGATGTTTATTTCACCACAAAAAACCATGAATTTTCTAATTAAAAAAAAACATCAAGAACTAAAATTCTTACTGTACCTCGAAGGCGCAAGCTTCTTCATCAAAAAGTTTTCTTTGAAATGTGCATGCGCCTTTAAGCTACCGTAACTTTGGAATTTTCAACGATTTTTGACACTTTTCCGTCCAATTTTCTCGCAGAAAACATCAAAACCCAGTAAATTTTCTTTGAAAATCCATTTAGCAGTTCTCCAGAAACTCACTTTCTCTCCTTTAATCCCAAAAATTTGCTTGGTTTTTCCCTCGGCGAGCAATTCCAAATTCTCCTGTTTCGACGCAATTTCAGCCAAACTCATATTTTCAGCTAAACTTTTCAAAAAGTTTTAGGTTATTTTTTTCAAAAAAATGAAGTAAAAAAAAACCAGTTAAAATGACAAAAAAATATTTTTTCTTGTGTCTTATCATTCTTTTATCAATGTCCTATCCCATAAAAATGAACGTTTGTCATCGACAAACATCTTGTTTTCCATCCGATCGATTCGCTATTTTTTCTTATCAATTTCCATAGTCAAAGAACACAAAAACCTGTCAAATACTTCAAAATTTTCAGAATCTACTCCCATTTTTTCCTTGAAAAATCCCAAAATTTCTTTCAAGAAAACAGCAACAACGTTTTTATGGGGGGAATTTTTTCTTGATTGTTTCTTTTTGAGGTAATCAGATAGATGAAAAAAAAGGGAGCGGAGTTTCAAAAAGTAGAAGAGGAAAGAGAGAAAGATTGGAATTCAGGAGGAGACGGAGAGAAAAAAAAACAGATTTCAGTGTAATAATAATAGTTTATAGGCGTTTTTTTGTTGTATTTCTGTGTATAAAGAGCAAAAAAAGAACATGAAAAAAGGGGGAGAAGAGAAGGGAAATTTTGAAAAAAAAGGAGAATTCAAAAAAAAAAAACAAGAGAGACAAAAAAAAAGAAAATTTGGGAGAGATTTGAATGAATGGGGGAAGATGGGAAATTCGGCGATTTTTGGAGAGCAAAAAATAGAAGAAAAATTGGTCGGGTGGGGTGAAAGATGAGCAATGGGAACATCTAAAATTTTAATTTCGCCGAAAAATTGGGAAAAATTCACATTGGGCGATTTTTAGTGGGATTTCAAAATTTGCAAAAAAATTTTTTTTGAAAAATTGAAAATCCAAAAAAAATTTTTTTCGAAAATTTCAAAAATTCCAAAAAATTTTTCAAAAATTTTTTTTCGAAAATTTCAAAAATTCCAAAAAATGTTCAAAAATTTTTTTTTCGAAAATTTCAAAAATTCCAAAAAATAATTTTCGATAAATTTGAAAATTTTCAAAAATCCAAAAAAATCGAAAATTTTTTTCAGAAATACCACAACTAGCAATTTTCAAATCTCAAAAAATCCAAAAAAAATTTTTTTTCGACAATTTTTTTTTCAAATTTCCCGCTCAAAAATTCAAATTCCCGCCAAATTTTCCAAATTTTTTTCTTCAAAAAATTGCCAAAAAAGGTGGGGAAGAGGGCTGTGCACAAAGAGAGAGAGAGAGAGAGAGAAAAAAGAAAAACGAGATCCAATCACATCCAAATCATCTTCTTTTCCTTCTAATTAGGAGATCCCTAATTAGGGGGGGGGTGGTAATTACTATAGAAGAGGGAAAGTGCGCTCCATTGAACCCCCAAAAAGGCTACAAAAAATCATTTTTATTCAGAGTTTCGATAGAGCGCAATTACGCCTTCTAATTAAGTGCCTCCTAATTAGGCGTTGCTCTCGCTGCTGCTCCTCCAGGCGGTCCTTGTTGCATTTGCATTGGTCCGGGTCCCGGCGCGCCTCCATTCCCACCCGGAACACCTCCCATAACTCCATTCATTGCTGGCGTTGGCGATGGAATCTGTCCCTGACTGCTGAGTCCCAAATTGTGCATTTGAAGCATTAGACCCGTCTCGGGTCCCGATGGGAATTGTGGTCCTTGGAAGTAGTATTTAAAGTGTGGCGGTTGTTGCTGCTGTCCGTTTCCGGCTACGGCTTGCGGCAGCTTCGGCTTCTCCTCCAACTCTTTGTACTCCAATTTCAGCTCTTTCGGAATTTTTCGCCACTGCATTTGATCGAAAACGTTGTAGTGTCCCTTCTCGTAGGTGCCCGTTTGTTCTCGAACGCCGCCGTATTGGCTACGCGTCAGCCAGACTTGTTCGCTCTTGTGAAATCGCCATTCGCGGTGGTATCTGCAAGGAAACTTGAAATTTTAGGGAATTTTTTTTGGGGATCCAAAACTGCTGAAATTGAGATTTTCTTTTTGAATTTTCAAAAATTTTGGATCCCGGCCAAAATCTGAATTTTTAAAATTCGGATTTTTTTTGGCTGAGAACGTTCAAATGTCCCTTTGTCAAAATTTCCAGAAAAGAGAGAAATTTCGGCGGTGACCTAGTTTTCCAAGGCTTGCGTTTCTTAGGCCACTGAATTTCGGACCGAAAATGTCCGAAAATTTGGCGCCAAATTTGAATTTCAGAAAACTTTTTAAAAGATGGCTAAAAGCATTGCCTAGAAACTGCATTTTGAGAAAAAACTAGGCCAATTTTTGAATTTTCTCCAGACAAAATTTTTCGAATTCCCGACAGAAATTGAAAATCTGAAGTTCTGAAATTTTTTAAGATTTTGCCCAGAAATCATTGCTTTGGCGGTATTTTTAGCGAACTTTTCAAAAAATTACAATTTTGCCCGTGGCCTAGATTTCCAATGCTTGCGTTTTCTGGGCCACTGAATTTTCGAGACTGAAAAAAGTCCGAAAATTTGGCGGCAAATTTCGGAAATTTGAATTTTCGAAATTATCGATTTTTGGCTCCAAAATCGACTTTTAAACCAATTTTTTCCTGAAAATCCCCGAATTTTCAGATTTTCCAGCTCAAAATCCCCCGAATTTTCCAATTTTTTGACCTAAAAATATCCAAATTTTTCTGCAAAACTCACAATTCACACGCAGCAGCAACCTGATAAATCTCGTTCGGACAATTATAGAAAAGATAGAATAACACGTCTTCGGACACTTTGTTCAGTCTCAACGGCGGCAGTTTGTCTCTGATGTGATTGTGCGTCAAATACTCGTCGGGCACTTTTACGTCCAGCTCGTGCGCTCGAATCGGCGAATCCGCCCATGGTCCGCCAAAGCTTCTGTGCAGTTTTCGGCTGAAAAATTGGGGAAAATTGAAGATTTTTGAATGATTTTCAGCGTTTTGGAGCTCGGAAAATGCTCAAAATAGCTCAATTCTTTCTTGATTTTCAGGCTTTGAAAATTCGAAAAACTGAAGGATTTTTGGAAAATTTGCATTTTTATGACCAAATTTTTGGTCCATATTCTCTAATTACAGGCTCAGAAAACCTCATTTTCAGCTAATTTCTCATTTTTTGAAACTGGAAGTCTCTATAAAAACCGCTGAAAATAGATCAATTTCAGCTAATTTTTTGTGAAAAAATCCTACAAAAAGAGCATTTTTAGATCTAAAAATAGCCGAAATTCTGTAATTCTCAGCTATTTCTGGGCAAAAAATGACTCGGAAAAGTGAACCGGAAAAATGGGTTTTTGAGCTCAAAATTCTCAAAATTCGGGCTATTTTTAAGCTAACAAATGAGAGAAAATCAGAATTTTTCGAGTTGAAAAATGCTGAAATCGAGCCGATTAGCGTGAAAAATGTGAAGAAAACCGGAACTTTTATGACAAAAATTGGTGAAAACGGGGCCATATTTGAGCCGAAAATGACCGAAATCGGCTGATTTGTTTCACACGGAAAACTCGATTTTTGAGCTGAAATTTTAAGCCAAAAAATCGGCAAAAAAGGTTTTTTAATGTGCGAAAAAACGCGAAAATCGGGTCATTTTGAGCCAAACATGGCAGAAAATGAGTCATTTTGAGTCGGAAAAATGGGCTTTTTGAGAAAAAAAAGGCCGAAATCGGCCGATTTTCAGCATTTTGGTGCTCGGTAAATGCTTATAATAGCTACATTTTTTGGGACAGAATTTCCGGTTTTTTTCGACTTTTGAGCTCGCTAAACCCTCAAAATAACTCATTTTGTGACCAAAAAAAAACATCACGATTTTCCATAAATTTTCAGATTCCCGGTACGGTTTTCAGCTAATTTCTCACTTTTTGAAACTGAAAATCTCTATAAAAGCCGCTGAAAATAGATCAATTTCAGAGCTCATTTTTTGTGAAAAAATCCTACAAAAAGAGCATTTTTAGAGCGGGGAATCATGTTATTTTGAGCCAAGAAAATGCCTCAAAATGACCAAATTTGAGCTATTTTTGGGCATAAAATGCAAAAAAAAGTGACAAATTTGTCATTTTTGGCTCAATTTTAGCTGAAAAATGGCGAAAATCTGATTTTTTCAAATATCAAAAATCTCAAAATTCGATATTTTCCGCTAGAAAAACCATGAAAATTGGGTCATTTTGAGCTCAAAATTTTCGAAATTCAGGCTATTTTCGAGCTAAAAAATGACGAAAAATCTGATTTTTCCAGGTTGAAAAATACTGAAATTGAGCTGATTAGATTCAAAAAAGTCATGCAAATTTTCATTTTTAGGTCGAAAAATGACAAAAATCGGGTCATTTTTTGACTTAAAAATTACCGAATTCGACCAATTTTTACCCGGAAAAATGGATTTTTGAGAAGAAATTACAAGATTTGTTTTCAAAAATTCTAAAAATACGAGGCAATGAAAGTCAAAAAAGGGAATGAAAATCGCCGTTTTTCAACAAAATTTGAGCGATTTTCAGGCCGAAAAATGCTATTTTCAAGCTAAAAATGACAGAAAACCAGAATTTTCCGGGTTTAGAATACTAAAATTGAGCCGATTAGCGTAAAAAATGTGATGAAAACCGGTACTTTTAGGACAAAAATAGGTAAAAATCGGGTAAATGTTGACCCGAAAAATGACCGATTTTTGAGCTGATATTACCAGATTTTTCTTTATTTCACAGATTTTAAGCTTTAAAATTTGGCAAAAATTGTCTTTTTCAATGTGCGAAATCGCGAAAATCGTGTCATTTTTAGCCAAAAATGGCTGAAAACAAGTCATTTTGAGTCGGAAAAATGGGATTTTTAAGCCAAGAAGAACCGAAATCTGAAAATTTCCCGATTTTTCGTTTTTCCCCCACTCACTCTTGCGTATTCAAACTCAGTCCCAGCGTCGTCAGATCATAACCTAACGCCAGCGAGACTATCGATGGATTGTCGACTGTTCGAAGGTACGTCACCAGCCCGGCCATTCCAAACTGATCGTCGAGCATTGAGGCGGGAATGTTCGTCACTTCGCCTGCAAAAAATTGACTTGTTAGGAGGAAAAATGGGGGAAAATCGGCCTAGAATGAGCAGATTTCGGCGGAAAAACTTTTTGGAAGAAAATAATCCCAAATTTGGCGGATTTTTGAGCAAAAAAAGAGGTTTAAACGACCAAATTTAGCCCTCAAAACGGCATTTTTGGGTTCGGTGGCCTAGAAATCCGATTCTCGGCCAGCTCTCCTTCCTCACCATCGGGATGCGTTACGATGCCATGAAGGGGGCCTTCTTGACTGCCACGTGGAATTCCGCCAATCCTCGAGGGATCACAATCGCCCAGTGGGCCAGCGAAGTCGACTCGATGATCGTCGGGAAGCATCTGGAAGATTTTAAATTTTGAATTTTCGAAAATTTCGAAAAAAAATTGATTTTTTTGCAAAAAAAAGGCAGTACGTTGGCGAGTTGATCTCCGAGCATTGGTCGTTGTGATTGACCAGCACCGCCGACGCCGGGAAGCGCAGGAAAATCCTCGTTCTGTATTTGGAACTCGGAATTTGTTAGAGTGGGGTCCGATCTCATCAGGTTAGCTGCAAATTGATGGAAATTTTTTGTGAAAAATTGTGTTTTTTCGGGTGCAAAATGTGATAAGAAAATCCAGGTGAACATGACGACGAATACAATAAAAATCGGTGGAAATTTAGCGGGCCGTTGAGAAATCAAAATTGGCTTATTTTTCGGCGCGCCTACTGTAGACGATGAAATACGCAAACACCGCGGCGGCAAAGTGCACACAATGAAAAGTTTTGTGATTTCGTTTTTCAGATTTTCAGATGGATTTCAGAGAGATTTCACTGGAAAAACATGCTATCAACTAAAAAAATGCATTGAAATGTTTTCTAAATTCTAAAAACTGCAAAAAATTCAGAATTTTCGTAAAAAATGAAGTTTGAAAATTGACTTCGAAAAATCGATTTTCGCGATATTTCGCAGGAATTTCAGGTTTCAAAGCAGTAAGATGAACATAATTTTTTCGAAGAATTCGGTTAGTTTTTGCAAAATTTTCCAGGTTTTTTTGAAAAATTGAAAAAAAGAAAATTATCGAAAAACGCTGAAAATTCGAGCTCAAAACCAAAAAATAACCTATTTTAAATATCACTAAAAACCTCGATATATGACGAAATTCTATGATTTTCCGCTAAACCGAAATTTCAAAATCTTCCAGAGCGGAAAATCGAATTTGCATATTTTCTGCTTGACAAAAATCATCAAAAATCTTTAATTAGTAACGAAAAAAAGAGAAAAATCTGTTAAAATCTCCGAAAAAGAGTCGATTCCCACTAAATTCAATTTTTGGCGCCGCGGCGCGCACATTCTCATTCCGACTAATGAATTTGCGCGCGGAAATCAATAAATTTGAACTAATCAAGTGTGTGTGTGTGTGCGAGGCAAGACGGCGACACAATCAACCAGCCAGCGTACTTCTTCAAAACATGCTCAAGAAGCATGCGCCTTTAATGTGTCTAGCTTTCTGACCGAGCTTTCCGAAAGTGAAAAATCTAGTCCCTCCTTTTTAGGGACTAGCTTTCTCAAAACTTTGAAAAGTTCGGCCAAGTCACTTTAAAGGCACATAGACATTTTCCGACACGAAACCCACCATAGTTGGTTCGGTAGTCCTGACGGGACGGCGACGACTGGGCGACGTTCAAAACACCTCCGCTCGTTGTTGGAATCGGTGAGAATCCGCCACCGAGTGAAGACGTTCCTGAAAGAAATGGAATATTCTTCTAGTGGCTTGAGGGCGCGACTGAGTAGCTATTAGACTCGCAAACGGTGGTTCCAAATCACTAAGACCATTTTGAAGCGAGCTATACGCACAATCGCTAATTTGTCAGTGGAGCGCGTTTTCTGAGCTATCTATAAACGCCAAAAATATAACTTAGTGCAAAACAATGTGAAATTTTAGTAGCTTTTGAATGGTGCCATTTTAAAATGTCTAGGACCATTTTGAAGCAAGTGATAGCCAGAATCAGAAATGGATCTTGAACTTTGTCAGTGGAGCGCAATTACTGAGTTATCTGTGAACGCCAAACATTCACTTTAATGTAAATCGATTAAAA